TTGTTTTTTTTTTTTTTCCTTTTTTTTCTCTCCTTTTCCCATTTTTTTTTTTTTTTCCTTTTTTTTCTCTCCTTTTCCCATTGTTTTTTTTTATTGTTATGTGATGTTGTCTATGTAATAAAAAATAAAATTATAAAAAAAATGTCTAATGACATAGTCCTGGATGAGAGGGTCCCTCAAGTCAGATGGCACTCAACATGCAAAGGAAGAGCTGAGGATCTTTCAGAGTACTAATGGTGTTTATAACAAGTCTTGATTAAAGCTTTTAGGAGATACTGATATTGATGTTGATGATGTTATCATACATGAAAAGAAAATCTGGAGCCACAAAAACAGAATTGCAATGGGAGCACTAACCCATAAGAAACCTGAACATAGGAAAGACTAAAACAGTGAAATATGAAATGAAATGACTACAAATTTACATCTTAGGCATCAGTGATGGACTGGAATTACACACTTTCAGAAGATCACACTGTTTATTATTCAGGAGATGAAAAAAAAGGAGCAGCATTATTAGGAATTGTAACTTAGGACGGCTATACCAAGAATAGTACTTGGCTACAGTACAATCAATGATAGAATAATATTAATTAAACTTTGCAGACAACTCTTTAATATGATTATCATCTAGGTTTGTGCTCCAGCCATTGATGCAGAAGAAAAGAGCTTGCTAGGAAATTAAGTGGGAGAACAACTTATCAATTTCTACCACTCCACTGATTTCTTCATAGTTGTCTTTAAGCAACCAAATGGATGCCTGTATGCATAAACATTACTAGATGGAGTACACAGAAAACAAATTTGCTATATTATTGCTTCAAGAGGTAAAGGCTCTCAGTTATGCATCAGGACAGGAATAGCCAGGTGCTAACAGTGGAAAAGATCACACACTGCTCATTTACAAATTCCAAGTTTAACTAAAGCAGCAGAAGAAAGTCAACTAGTTTCTATGACATAATACCGACCACATAGCCACTGGTTTTATGGAGATCATTATGAATCACTTTGAAGTTCTAAACTCATTAATAGAGAACTAGAGCTACCATGAAATGTACTTAAAGAATTTGTGAAGGGGGCATTTGAAACATGATTGTTAAAAATCACCCAAAAAAGAAAGCAAATTCACTGCGAGAATAAATTACAGAAATTGTCAAGAGAAGAGAAGTGAAGCCACTAAAAACAAAAATTTCAGGAAGAAACCTAATGAAGAATTTCAGAGAGATGTTACAAGAGTCAAGAAGCAGTAGAACAATAACTGCAAAGACCCTAATGATGGGAACAGGCATGGAAAAACAAGGAAAGGTTTTAAAAAGATCTCTGAACTCAGAAGGCTCCATTCTCAAATTGGTATGCCAAATGGATAGATTCAGAAGTAACAGATTCACACTACATCAAATAAAGATGGAAGGAACTTACTGAAAAAGTATGATGATGAAATGTCAACATCCAAATTATTTTAGAAGATGCTCTAAGACGATGTCCCCAATTTACAATAATTTATAGTACTTACAGAAATTGAATTCACATCAGCACTCCCATTATTACTAAATTGGAAAGTTTTAAGAACTGAAGGAATATCCACAGAAATATGGCAACAGAAGAAGAGTCCGTAAGGGTTAACCAAACTGTGTAAGAAAATCTGGGCAACAACATAGTGCCCAATAGATTGGTACAGGTCAAGGTATATTTCAATATCAAAAAAAGAAAAAAGAGAATTTCAGAGTGCAAACTATTGTGTTATATCCATAATTTCACAAATTAGCAAACTAATGCTTAGGATCCTCCAGCCTAATGCCCTACATGGGATAGGATTGTCAGATGTTAAAGTGGATTTTACAAAAAGCTGAGGAATACAAGACATTGCATTAATGCAATTAGATAATTAAGAAAAAAATTCAAAATTGAAGTCAGTATGTGCTTTATTGATTACATAAAGATCTTTGATTATGTTGATTCTGTCAAGCTATGGAATGTGCTTAGAAATATGAGAATCTTAAAAGATCTCATTGTTTATGTGAGAAACATATATTCAGGTCAGGAAGCCATAGTATAGGTTCGTGATGGCGAACCTATGGCACATGTGACAGAGCCCTCTCTGCTGGCATGCCCACTGTTGCCCCAGGTCAGATCTCTGTGGCATTTCTTTCATGAGCTTCTTTTCGCTGCAAACAATGAAACAGAAGCTCACAAAAGAAAAAGAAAAAGATCTTACCTCTTGACTCGCTGCCAATGTTGGGATGCCCCTCCTTCGGGTCTCTGCTGCACATGCCCGAGCATGCCCACATTTGTGCGTACACACATCTTTCAGTTTGGGCATGTGCGCACATGCAGCTTGGGCACTCGGCGGTAAACGTTTCGCCATCATTGGTATAGACAGACCATGGAAAAATAAGACTGGCTTCATGTTAGCAAAAGTAAGGCAATGGTATATATTCTGCCTTTATTTATTCATCCTATATGTTGAATATATATTAAAGAAAGCAAGGTAAAAAAATGTGAGAATGGTTTTAAAATTGGAGGAAGAAACACAAATAACCTGTGGTATGCTGACAACTTTTTCTGATAGCTAAAAACGCTAAGGATCTCCAAGCCATAGTAAAAAAAAAAAAGCCAAGAAACAAAATGAAAAAAATGAGATTAAAAGGAAATATAAAGAGCAAACTAATAACAATAGGTACAACAATCAAACTTAGTATTGACAATGAAGATATCAAACTGATAGCTACTGTCTGCCTTTTAAAAGTCAACTATTAACAAGTAGCCAAGAAATATGCTACAGCCCAGCATTTGTTAAAACAGCTATAAAAGCCTTGGAAAAGATATTCAGATACTGGGATTTATGTATACCCATAAAAATTATTATAGTGCAAACCGTGGTATTACCGGTGAAGGCCTATGAAAGTCAAAGTTGGACTTTGAAGAAACAGGGTAGGAAAAATCCTGATAAATTTAAAATCTGGTGTTGGAGAAGATGCCTGAGAATATCAGATAAGTCAAGAAAACAACCAGAAATATCATCAAAATGATGAATGCAGAATTTTCACTTGGGTCAAGGCTGACCCATGACCAGGCTCAAATTATCCTATTTTGGACATATTAAACAAGTCCTAACTCTCTGGAAAAAGATCCAAATTCTGGGAAAGGTGGAAAGAGAAGAGAATAAACTACTGCAAGATGGATGGACTCATTTACAGTAGCGATAGTGATGAGTGCAATTTTGGAAGAGTCGAAAGATCATTTTAAGGACAATTCTTCATGGAGCAAATATATCTATGTGACCACTCATAGTCAACATGTCATCAATCAATCAGTAACCATGATGATGATATTAATCTTATCCAATGTGAAGGTGGTTTTACTTTACTTAGGTTTTATTTACAAATATCATAAAAATTTGTTAGAGGCACTTTTTGTACTTTCAACAAAAAGAATTTCAATGTGACATCTGTTGCCAGCTTGACTGGAAAGCTTATAGCTACAGACTTGTGTTATAGACTATGGAATGTTCTATGTTTACTTAAATGATTGCTGCTCAGATTCCTTATTGCTCAATATCACAATGGGAAAAGTTTTGAAATAGCTCCACAAGAAAAAATAAAATATCATGAGAGTTTAGCATGTATAATGTATGGTGGGCTTTTTTTTTTGCCAGTGACATCTATCATTGAAACAGTGGATTGCTAAAGAAAAGGGAATGGTTTCTAGGGTTTCTTGAATTTCAGAAAGAGTTCATTAAACACATGCATACGCAGAGACAGATAGAATAAATGTTTGGAAAGGAGAGAACAAAGATAATAATTATTTGAAAAAGTGTCTAGATTAATAAAATAAATATTCCTAGGTTGTCTGCACAGTAGCTATCTATAACAAATGACTGTACCACTGATCTGGGAAGCATAAACTGAGATCTACTAAAGCGTGATTTAAGTTAAAATATAGTAATATTTTTGCATGACAGTTCTATAAACTTCGCTCCCATTTCCTTGATCTTCATTTTTCTTTCAGCCCGGGAAATTTCCACACTGAGGATTCTCCAAGTTAGAAGGAACATGAGATGTAAGATAACAAATGCATTAGTTTGCTTTGAGCGCAGGCAAAGGGAAATTCAGACTACTTCCCCCCTGAAGTATAAGAGGGAAGGAAAGGAAAATGTGGTCAGACTTGTGTGGATCTGTTACTGTAGCCCTTCTTACTAAAATAGAGTACTAGTCTTCTTGTGGAATCTGCTTCCTGATCTATAGGGCTGACAGACATATATTGGGCAATATACATACCTCTCTGCTTATATGACTTGAGTGGAAAATGGGGGGAAACCAGGTTAATCATGATAATCTAATGTCAAGCTTTGTTTGGTCCACAGTTGTAGTTGTACCTATGAGCATAAGTCTTATGACAAAATATGTGTCATAATGTTACTGTATAAGGTCCAGGCTTTTAGAGATAGTAGCAATGATTCATGCAAGTATGTAATAGCAGGAGTGTGCATCACATCACAATACACTAGCTCTGTGTCCTATGGATGCCCACATCTATAAGCATTATANTATAATGAGAGGGAGGGAAGATCTCAGGGAAGTCCTGCCTTAGCACTTGGCCACCACAGGTGCCCCCTGACACGAGTGATGTTGAGCTGGCCATGCCCACTGTGGCCACGCCCACCCCAGTCCCCCAACCGTGATGCGGCCCTCAATGAAATCGTGTTTGACACCCCTGTTGTAAACTGTCTGGAGTCACTTGGATGAGATGAGTGGTGTAGAAATTTAATACATGAAATTAAACTTGACTGTAACAAGAATGAAAAACAAATGTTTTTTTTTTAGATGGCTATCATGCCTTTAGTCCACAATCACTAACTCAAAGGAACCATGCAATTGTAGGCAAAGAGAACTAGGGTTGGCACAATTATGGTAACAGGCAGAAGAGTAAATGATCTAATACACCGCAAACAAGACGGTGCAGGATAATCAATTGGGTCAATAAATGTCATACGAGAAAGGATCCACCCCAATGACTTTTGGCATAGATCTACTTGACGGCCTTTGTTCAAGAAATCAGGGGCTGGTTTTAGATGATTTTATTCTCTAATTGTGTGGACAAAAAGTGCCTACAATTTAAGCCATGATGTGCACAATTAAGTAATTGCCCTTACAAATACATGTAATTAGCTTATGGGATTTGCAGTTCATTGATCTGTACATATATACTCTTTGGGAGAGTAAGTCCTGTTTTGAGGCCTGAGACTGTGGAGAAACAATACAGCATTTTTGACTCTCATTCAAACTCATATATGTTCTAATCTGAATTATAAATTTGGGAAACGGTGCATGCTTTCATCCCTACTTCAATGGCCAACAAGCTGGATGTCTCATATGCTGTACAAATATAAATTAAAATCTAATATCCCTAGAAAATGTTCTCAAATCACCGATAATACGCCTCTGTACTAGCTGTTTCTGTAGATTTGCACCACTTCTTCCATCAATGAACTTGACAGAAAGGGGTATCTGGGTACTCAACTGTTTTGAAACTCGTCATTTGTTTGGTACTCAATGCACAAGCTAGAACCTGTTGGTGTCGGCTGCCTTGTGACTCACTATATTATTCCTTATGGGGGGAAATTGTTTGGTGCTCATTGTTTTTGGTACTCATCATAACCCTGGAGCCAATTAATGATGAGTACTGAGGTGCCACTGTATTTACATTTAGTTATACTTTTTGCTGGCATTCAGACAGCTTCATAACAGTGAGATTAGATAGAATAGAATAGGATAGACTAGAATAGAATGGAATGGAGTGGAATAGAATAGAATAGACAGAGGTGTATATATAGGCAGCGATGTTTTGTTGAAAAATGAAGGAATAAGATCTCTGTTTGAAGGTATGAAATGCAAGGTTAACAATAAATAGAAGTATAC